GGGGGGGGGGGAAGGGGGAGGGTGCATTCGCGCGCTCAAAAGCGCGTTCAACTCGCGTAAGTGAAAGCACTCACCCTCTTGCCTCAGCAGCATCACGAGCAGCAGCAGCGCAAGATCCATCGCTCGGCGCTCGCGCACCCTCCGCGGATCTCGCACGAACTCGGCTTGGCGCGATTATTGCCCGGTATTTCCCTCGCGACGTCCCACCTGCGTCGCCGGCGATCCTCCTCTTCGTCCTGATATCAGAGAAAGGTCGCGCGTAGCTGTAGTAACGTTGGAAAACGAAAGTGTCACCCGCGGGAGACACGACGGACACGGTGTGCTCGAAACGAACACCGTCCACCGAATCACCCCGCGGTCATTTCGCGTCTTCGGACAGCGAGGGATCGGCCTCTCGCGATTATACACGACCGCCTCGTCTCTACACGGTAAAAAACATTTCGTACTTGCATTGGAATCGGTTCTTTTCCAAATTTGTGTTACATTTTTAATGTGTTGAGTCGATGTTCAAAAGTTGTGTAAATGCTAAAATAATGCATTTTACACTCTGATTAATATTTACGGATATTAATTCTGTGTTAATTTTTGACCTAATATTTGTGTTACTTCTCAACATATCAATCTTGTATTGATCAACATGAAAAATCTATGCGAACCGTTTGGGACATGCGAGATGTGTTGTATTTAACACAACGTTTTTCACCGTGTACAGAGTCGGTTAGAATGTCGCAACGTTACATCACGTTAGCTATCTCCGATTTCGCGATAAGTATAGACTGTCAGATATGATAGAAATGGGGTAATGAGGAATCCGAGTGATCGCTTTAATGGAATAATCGCGTGATGAAAAATAGTTGTCGCTCTTCGTAATCGTCCGATCGTGTGTGTATCCTCTTCGGGCGCGCGCTTATCACGCGTTTCTGGATTTACGAAATCCAGTTATTACGAATAACTGCTCATTTTGTTCCCAAAATCGACGAGAAGCCCTCTCTTCCCGGATAACAGCCGCATTTCGGCGTGCGCTGTTCGCCCAAGATTCGATTATCGTTCGATTCGGAGGCGCACGTTCTACTTCGAGCCGAAGAAGGAGAGCGCGTGCGCTCGGACGCGCACTCGTCATAATGACAGAGACGATCGCTCGGGTTTGATAGCCAGAAAGCGAGGGTAAAAGGGGCTGAAGAGAAGAGAAAGAGGAAGGAAGGAAGGAGGCGAGCTCGTCAGGCACGCGCGAGAATGCCCATCGTAGCGCGGCGCGGTCTTAATTACCGGCGAAGTTCTTCGTTATTCCACTGTCAATTAAATTTAATGATTGCCGCGGGTTATTGTGTTTTCATTGTGCGCGCTCGCAGAAGAAGCGTGTACGCAGCCGGCCACGACTCCCTTATTTCAGCATACATTTATCCCACGGCTCGGTTTACACGGTCGCGGCGCGTTTGCATCTTCGACCAAGAAATATTCCCTCTCCCCTTCGCCGGCGGGTCTCGGGAACACGCGGAGGTTACCCGCATTGAAATATATCTGTACTGGAAGAGGCACTGGGCCTCGAAAAGTGATGCCGACGGGAAGACCAACTTTAGAGCATCCTCTCTTTGTCGTACGTGTATGTCTCGCTCTCTTTCGAAAGAGATAGATATAGACATGTAGGTAAGTAAGTGAGAGATAGGTATCCCTAAATTTCTTTTGTCTCACGCACGCTTTCCGCCCATAGGCGGTTATATGGCGGTGACTTTTCCAGTATGCTTATATTTCAATGGCTACCCGTCGTAAGTCAGCTATCCGATCGACATTATCGTTGACGTTCTTGTGGGAACTAGCCTCGCGCGGCGTTCTTCTTTTTCGCCGGCAGTTGGAAATCTTTCGCGATTGAAAGCCCCCTCTCTCTCTCTCTCTCTAGTTCGCAAGGTGCTAAAAGCGTTCGCTCAGTAGCGAGAGTCAAGTGCTCTTCATCTTCGAAGCTTTCGGTTGAGAAATTCCGGTAATTTCACATGGCCCGCTGCTTAACTGGATTTCCTCGTCACGAAGTAGTAAGTCAAAGTGCGCGACGCCTTTTAATTCGCGCTTCCGCGAGGACGGCTTAATTCGCGACGGCCAGCTGCCATAACGTCTGCTAACCGAATTAATGAGCGCACGTTTAACGATAAAAATCGCCGGGGCGCGTGAATATAGCAGACGCCGGCGTCGCGACATCCCAAAAATAGAGAGACGCCTGGAAGCGACCCTCCCCGCCTCCCGGAACGAGCGAGTTAATCTCGTTAATAATCACTAGCTGTCAAGACTGCCGGGAGACCGCCAAGGCAGTCCCAAACGCAACTCGACCCGGGCTGCGTATAGTATTCCTGAATGAATTTATAACGAATTTCAGGAATAATCCTAGGGCCGAGCGGACGGGAAATCTCGAGCGAGCTCTTGTCTGAATAGCCCGAATCAGCCGAGAATACTCGGCGATTTGACGGGGTTTCCGGCAGCCGGTGAGAGGCAAAAGGGGATGGAAGAAAAGAGAGTCAGCGAACGAGTGAGCGAGAGAGAGAGAGAGAGAGAGAGGAAACTGCCGCGCGATTCTACGCCCTACGAACGCCGCGGACTTTAAATGCAACTTGTTGCGAGTTTTGTCGCAAGTCTCGAGCGTTGTCCGGCGTCGAGACGCCGTGCACGACAGAGTCCGCTCTTAAGAGGAACTTCGCCGGCATGCATATTTTGCCGATCGATCGTCGGAGAGGACGCGACAGAGGGAAGAGATACAGAGAATTAACAGAGGTTCTGGTTTGCCGATCCACAGCCGTAATGAGCGTAGAGATCGAACAGGAAGCTGCTGTTTGCCGAGCGGACCTACCCTGATGCTAACTTCGGTGATTTGCGCTTATAATTGGGACGTATCTTGTGAGGATTCTGTTTATCCGCCCGGTGTATCACACCCGCTTATCCGCATCACATTTGCAGGATGTATCAAGAGTCAGTCGCTCTCTCTCTCTCTCTCTCTCTCTCTCTCTCTTTCTTTCTCTTTGTAAGTTCTTTATAAACTTTTCTTATCTTGGCTTAAATTGGAAACCAATTCTAATAAAATAACACTTATAAAATTTATTTCATACTTAAATTTTCACCTCGCTTTCATTCTTCGTGTATGCTTATACTTTCCGATTACTATTTGTGATTTTACATTTTGTGTGTGATATTCATCTTTATTTTAATTACAATGTTATTTAATTATTTAATTTATCATATTTTGCGGTTGAGAGGTCTTTTTACCCGAAGCGTTCAATAAATTACACTCTCTTTCTCTCTCTCTCTCTCTCTTTCTCGTTAGTTCGCTTTTTAACATCTATTTGTAACTTTAAACAGTTTAACTCAAAACCGATCTGTATTATGTATGTCCGATTTTATAACCCAGAATTTTGTTAAATAAAAATGCGCGTTCCATATTCGCTGCTAAAAAGGCACACGCTGATCGATAATCCGATGAAATGTCGTCCCCCAAAGTGCGATTTCTAAATTTACGGCCAAGTAAGAATAAACGCGCGATTCCATATATCGTACATTCATCGGGCTCTTCCTTCCGACCTGCCACGGTCGATCGCGGGCGTCTGAGTTAAGAAAAGACGGACTCGAGTTTTGAGAAGCGAGAAATTCGGCGTGCCCAAACGCGATTACGAAGTTTACGCGGCGCGCAATATCGATGGGAAGGTGGAGCCGCGCGCGTTCTCGCGCAGCGAAGCGAGAAATATTTCTTTCCTCTCGTGATTCGCCCCCGTACACATCCGCACGCGATTTTTCTCGATGCCACAATGGACCGCACACGGTTCGTAAATGATTCCGAATTCGAGAGTTCGAAAGGCCACCCGGAACTCGCACCAATTGTAGTGCCCTGTGGTTTATTTATTCGCCGAGACTATTCTCGTTCGTCGTCTCATTTCCTTTTTCCTTCGTGAATGCGCCACGTGCACGGCCGACCGCGTGAAATACCTCCCCCTCCCCCCCCCCCTACGGGCCGCGTTTCTCGATCGCGCCGGTATCGATCGCGCGAATCGATCTGTTTCGTGGGAGTATTCCCTTTCGAATTCGTTCTCGAACAAGGAACAACGACGACGGCGGCCGCGAGAGAGAGTATACGCGTTCATTTATTTATTCCTTGACTTATTCACGCCGCTGTAGTTTTGTTGGATCTATCGGCTTTCCCCCTAAGCCCCTTCCCCACTCGCGGCCATTCTTGAGAAAATTCCTCCGGCGGCCGGAATTACGATATGAATAAACGAAGAAGATTTTATCGCCCTTAGACCATCCCCTTCGCGATCGCACGATGTAAGTTAGGGTCTTAAAACCGCGGGATGGGAGAAAAAAAAATGTTTTCGACAGGGCATGCATATATTTCCGTCGGCGGGATTGGTTATCCCCTTCCAACTTTTGATTGAACGTTAATCCTTAACGCGGTGTCATTTAACCCTTGCTTGCAAAAGAGACCGTCCACGTTTTCTTTTGCTGCGAAAAGCAAGAATGAGGAGAAAGGAAGAAAAGAAGTACAGAGAGGTTTCCACTAATCGGATACGCGACATTCCCGGCACGACGGCGCGTAAACGGAGATATTTTTTCATGGCGCAATTTCGCGTTGTCTTATCGCCGCGAGGATTTATGGGTAGCCGGCAGTTTCGGCATTAAGGTCCCACTTTGTCGCCCGGATAACGCGGTACATCCGAATCTTTCGAATCCTAACGTGCTCTTTACACACCCAAACCCACACACACACGCGCACACATTCCGATTTCGACAATCGGCTAATTTTGCTGGCGTGCGATTTCCGTGGCAATCGCCATATGGAAATATTTGCCGGTGTCACCGTCGTCGATTCAATCGTCATTTCGATCTCGCCGCTCTCGTAACTACCATCTGCGCGACACACACCCGGTTTCCTCTCTCGGACGCAAAATTCGCGCACCCATGTTACTCTCTTATTGCTTCTTTTCGCCCGGCCGGCCGCGCTGCGCTCGGTGAAAATCGTTCGATCGTTTCACGTGAAATCGACGCGTCGTCTTCTATTTCCGGCCCGCGAGCGCCCGTCCCGCCGTAATCGATCGGATCGTCGATCCTATTCGGCACCGATAGCGGCCTAACGCTTGTTCCTACGCTCTTTATCGTTTTATCGTTCCGCTCGATTATAGACGGCTCGCTTCCACGTCGACCCCTCGCGCACCACCTTTGGTCCTTGATCCCGTTTAAGAGCGGCTTCCCGCAATTCTGCCGGAAACACGGGGGGAGGGGGGGACGAGCTTCCGCTTCGATGGTCGGGTTTCGATTCCGCGCGGCGCTCGCGCTTATCGAACGGCTACTCGGCGTCTCTCGCTTGTACTCTTGCGATTTAATAAATTCCGATTCGTTCCGCGCGAGCGGAAAACCCCCCGTCGGCATTCCGGCGTAGCTCCGCGTGAGAAATATTCACTGTTTCGCCGATTTTGCCTCGCGACCAGAAGATTTCGCGTGTTTTCCTCCGAAGTTCGCGAGCGCGTGAGGTTTCTCGATAATCTGCACGAGAGAGGAATCCGCAAGAGCGTTTTCCTCGTCGCGCGGAGGGCGTAAATCTTGCGAAATTCCGAAATTGCGTCGACAATCAATCGGACTGTGTCAATTGAGCTTGCGGGGAACGAGAACAGGCTTTGGGCACGCCGACCAAAGTAAGCTGCGTCGCGGATAGCTCTCATCTACGAATTCGCACGGATCTCTAGATAAAGAGAAATTCGCGCTGCGACGCGATATTCCGATAGAACGTTCTGTTTCCTGCTTTCTCTCTCTCTCTCTCTTTCACTTGTGCGCGCGCGTATTATTCCCGATCGAGCGACCGATCGAAATTTTGCGAGACCGCATTTATTTCGAACCGGACGCGTTAATTTGCGTCGTCGGCTGATTTAAGCGCACCGGTTTCGAATCCTGGCGCGATTCGCATAATTTTGCATAGATATTGTACACACGGCGGGACAGACGCATTCGCGATCTCTCGGTCGCGCTGTTCGGAATAGCCCAAAACCGCATTTATTTCGGATTGCGCGCGTTAATTTGCGTTGTTAACCGGTGTTGAGGGTGTCGAGCGTCGGAGTTATGATTCGCATAATTTTCCGTATAAAGAGGAGGCGCGTGCATCGCGCGATGAAACGCGTTTAACTCGCGGCGACGTCGGCGGCGATTGAGCCTCCGAGGCGCGGAGCGAGAGAAGAGCGATTATTATTGATATTTAGGCCGGTCGGCCCGTTTATTTCGGAGAGCGCGTTAATTCGCGTTGCTGGGCGATTTGAGGGCATCGGGTGCGCTTCCGCGGTTTTCAGCCTACCTTCGCGGCCCGACCCGGGTTAAGAGCGGCTCGCCGCAATTCCGGGGACAGCATCGAAACTCTTCCGGGCCGCTGGTTTCATCGCGCGCGATCGAGCGACCGAAAACGCGAGCGCGGTTTAGACCGGCGGAGCGGGGCCTGTGTGGCGCACAATCGGCGGCGGTGAAATGAAAATTAGAGACAGCACCGCTCCTCGTCGTCGGGCACAGTTTCTGTATTTTCCAACAGTTTTTCCATCCGCGCGTCTGCCCGTGAGGCGCACTCCGAAATTGATCAAATCAACCTCGCCACTCGGCGCGATGCGATTCTAATTCGCTCCCGCGGGACCGTCCGCGAAGGGAGGACGACATCGCTCCTTCCGCCGATCTTGCCTCCCCGCGCGATCTTCAGCTCCGGTCAGTTCCCATGTTCTCTCGGCAAGCGATTGCACAGAGACGATTCCCGGTACGCAGCTTCAAAAAGTCATCAACCGCACATCCGCCGGCGTTTTCTCCTTCTCTTTGCACCACGCGCGCGTATATTCCCGAAGAGCGAGGCTTCACTCCTGCGCGCGTCACACCACCTCGGCGACGAGAGCGCGTGACAACTTCGTAAATGGCGCCGCGCGGGACCACCGTCCGGGTGAAAGTTCGCGTCGCGGATGGCCGATGCCGACTACGAAAGCTCGACCGCGCGCCGTTTTACCTCCGTGCGGTGGTTCGTAGCACCTGAGCGCTTGCGCGCCTCGTGTCCGGCAGGTGCAAGTGCACGCGCCGAGCCGCGTAGTCGACGACGACCGCCGAGGCGTCTCGTCGATTCAGCGCGACTCGCGCCGTGATTACCCCGCTCTTATCACGATTATTGTCGAGGAAAATTCGAGAAAATCTCGATATTCGTGAAAAATTCACATTTCTACGGAGAAACGTAGGTTGGATATGGGAACGGTGAAAAGTATATACAGGGTGTCCCAGGCCAATAGGGACAACTGTTGAGGGCGTGGAACAGATTGAAGCGAAAAAGTATTGTTTTGGTCAAACAAACACGTCTTTATGTGTGATACAGTTTATTTTAATCCTTTCGGAGACCCGAATATGATGGAAATGTCTGGACGTCTGATTCGGTTTATTTATCAATTTTCATCGACACGCACTGGGAAAGAACATATTTCTCGGCGACAACAATAACCCTTTTTTTTCTATTTTAACCACAAAAATAGCAGTAGCAACATGCGCATAAAGTTATTATCGCAGACACTATAGTAATATACTTGCTAGGAAAATGCTCCTCTTGACTATTTTTGTAGTTAGACTTGAAAGGGAGGATATTGTTGTTCCCGAAAATAACGATATTTCTCTCTCGGTGTGCTTACGACACCGATCGAACCGTGCTTTTACTCTCGAGCCACCCCTTGTCTTTTCCGAAATAGTAGATTAATAATGCAATCACGAAAGCTCGCGCGTGCACATTATTTCGCGATTAGGATCGCCCTCGAGCGGAGATATATTCCGAAGAGCTCGATCTTGCATCTCGGATTGACGCGCTTCATGAATGTTTCAGCAAATATTATTTCGGGCGCGACACCGTTGACAGGTCCTTTGTAAAATTCAACGCACACGCGTACACATTCAGTGGGAAGTACGAGAAGCTCCGGTTTTCTTCTTCTCCGAGTCGTCTCCGCGTTTAAGTGCGACTCGCGACGAAGACGGGAAACAATTCCAGAAGTGGCGGGGCGCGCGAAAGAGTTACGAGAGGTCACACACACACACACACACCGCCGGTGACACGCGGAAGCGCGAGTGAATTATCTCGCCTCGATAAATCATGACACGGCGAGCGGGGATCGACTGGCAAGAAGACGCCGGGGATTGTTATCCGCGGGCGCTCGCGGACACCCAAGCGGACGTGTCGCGTGATCCCTCTCGGTGATTACAGGGTGTCGTCTGAAAACGGGGCCGCGTTGCAGTACACGAGTATTACATTGTCCGGCCGCGGAAGAACCGGCACGGTTATCGACGAGTCGGCGGAACGATAATTCTTCCCGGCCGGGATGCGTTTCCCGCGAGTAATTTACGTCGCTTTACCGCGCGCGAGATCATTTTCGCGAGCTAGATTCCGGACAATCGTTCAATTCTCAAACTCATCGTTCGCCGATAGATCGATACCTGGGACGAGTCACGAGGAGGAGATGATGCGCTATACCGAAGTTCGCTAAGGTTGCTGCTACCGTCGCTGCCTGAGAACGCGCGTCCACCACGCGGATAATTCTATTGTTGCTCTGGCGCACGTGCAACTTGCACGTGAGCCCGAAGTCACGTAAATTCAGGTTTCGCGCCGGGGCTCTCGCGGCGGGCATTACTCGTTCGACTAATTGCCCGAACAATCGAGACGGGCATTCGCACGGCAGTTCGCTGATTTGTTTGCGCCGGCTATTTCAATGCGTTCACGATCGGCCGTTTAATGTCATCACGCTCGGAGGAATAATTATTCCACCCATCTCTTTCTCTCCCTTCCCTCACGCATCGATCGATCGACCGATCCCTCGAGTGGATATCGGCGAGATCGGCGAATTGATGAATTGTCATGAAGAACGCGGGACACGCGAGTGCTGGAGTTGACGAAGAAAGGGGTATTCGCTCAATTGGAATCGATTATTCGATATTATGCGAAACCCCGTCGCCGCTCGCGTCCCTCGGGGGCCCCCGATTGCTTCGTCGACCGCGGACAAAATCCGACAAGACCGTTCATTAGCCGCCGCGCTAGTCCTCGTGAGCGAGGCAGGAAGGAAGGAGAGAGGGTGAAACTAATTTAGCCCTGTCTCTCTTGGCGGGCGCTCTTGCACGGCCCGCTACCTGCTCGAGAGCACGTTCGCTCCACTTTGCTGCGAAAGAACGGCGGGGTGAGAAAATATCGCGGCGGGAACAGCGTAATGCAGCGCGCAGGTGCACACCTTGGCGACCCCCGCATACTTGCGTGCAGAGGAGATAATCTCTTTTCATTTGCGTCGAGCCGGTTTGCGGTTGCCCCCTGGAGTTCGCTGCCGATCTTCTTTCCAGTCGACTTCTTCCCGCCGGCTTCCGAGCCGCAGACTGAAATTGCTATAAACAGCGTACCGCGCGTTAAGGTAACGGTAACAGTAACCGTTCTCGCTCGCTCGCGCGATTACCACGGTTCATCTCGCCGGGGAACGGCGCGCATACTCGAGACGAAACGAAATTCCGAGGCAAGGATCAAAGGCCACGGTGTGCCTTCGCGTCGTTTCGTCTTCGCCTCTGTTACTCGATATTGCACCGTCCCGGCGAAATCAAGACACCGGGTTAATGCCGCGGCGAAACGAACGCGCGGAACAACCCCTGCCGCATCCGTGCGAATCTCTCTCTCTCTCTCTAAGACAACGTTGTCTCGCCGCATTCTTCCGCCGAGAGTGGCCGTGTAATTTGGTTGTTTCGCGTCGCGTTAATCGCCCCGGTGAGGCTCGGGAGATCGATCGACGCGAATTCGAGGTAGTCGAGGGGACCAGGATAGAAATTTCAAACGGAAACTGGGATAACCCTACACAATTTTCTCTCACTTCTATCTAGGCCCTAGAAAGAAATGTGACGCTCGTACAATTTAAGGCCGGTTTTGTAAATCTATCTTACTAGGCTCTGACTGGCTCCTATGAGCCACAGGCCTTGGCATCCACGTCATATTCAGGACCTGTTCACGAATTTCTATTCAGGATTTGCCTTTTCAGACCATAACAGGTTCAACGAAGGTAGACCTACTTTAGGGCACGCTTATTAAAGGCTACTATAGATTTGGGGCATTCCTGGATTAGTTTCTACCCGAGAAGCGTTGCAGTACCGGCGATTTCCGCAATTCTCCGTCGTTAATATCGCCGATACGGAGCGTCGCGACGGAAAGAGATGAGCGAAACGACAAATTTCTCGCTATAAAGTAAGCGATATCTCTCTCTCGCGTACGGAACATCCGCATTTTACAGGAATCCGTTTCCGCTTACCAAGCCCTTCTTTGTGATACTTATTCCGTCTATAGGCTTCACCCGCAGACTCTCGCCCGGTCGATCCTCTTTTAGTCCGCATTTCAGTATAATCGGCTGCATTTCACTTTGATGGCGCGTAAAAACTAAACCGAATAATTTATCATGCCATGGTCTCCCAAGGTTATTAACGTAGCAATAAAGAAGTAATCGGTTTATACGACCTTCGAAAGGGCAGAAGAGGTGAAGATGGAAGAAAGTGGAGGAGGGCAAAAGCCGAGAAGGATGAGGAGACGAAGAGAAAGAGAGAGACAGTGAGAGGGAGAGAGAGAGAGAGAGAGAGAAAACCAATGAATCTTTGAGAACGCAATCGCGAATCAGCACTCACAGCTGAATGCCGTTGCGCTAATTTCTTACTTGGCGCACAAACCGGCGCGAAAACAAAACCACCTACTTTGCGATTTGCAAAGTTTCCCGATAATTCGTAAATTTACGAGAATAGTTGGCGACTTTGTAGAACGCCTTGATACCGATGATAAGGGACGAAGATGCCGTTGTTATCATTATTATTATTATTACCACCATTAAATTGAAGTCTCATCCTTAGACGCAAAACTTAAACGCGGGGTTGCACTTCATTCCGTGAAGGGTGAAAAAAATCGAGCTGGCGAGTAAAAGTGGAGAGAAGACGCGTGAAAATAGCATCGGGAAGTAACGAAATGATCGTTTGCATCGCTCGGCGGGTATTCATTATCACGATGGGGAGAGAAGGATAATCTTCGGTCAATTAGTCGTTCGATCGCGCGGAATCCACGTGATTTTCTCCCGCATCAGCGCGTCGCCAGGAGGGATTGACGCGTTGCGCCGGCCATTATGGGTGAGTACGCTAGGGGAGCGCGAGGGTGAGCGCAAACGGGGAAAGTCGGCTGCAGTCGCAGCCGCGCAGAGGACTCTCGACGACGAGCGACGGACGGCGCGGTCTCAGCGAGTGGTTGCGGTTTCGCAAGCGACCAGCCGCGAATTTTCTCGGTAGTTGTACCTCCTCGCGGCAGCTGTCTGGCTGCGCAGTGACTCATACTACTTAGCCCGAATAAACAGGAGCGTCCTGCAGGAAAATGGTATTGACCATCCTTTCCAACTCGTAGCACCCCCACAGATCACTCTTCCCCCCCACTACAGGTTCGCCCGCTCGGTTCATCCGCAGCACCGTCGCCTCCGGAGCAACCCCGGTCGTCTCAAATTCTAGCGTCGGCGGTACTCGCCGGCGGAGGGATGCAAGAGGGAGGGTGGAGAGCAGAGGGTGGGAGCGGCGCAGCGGGACTGCGGGAGGAGTCGGACGGAGATAGCGAACGCGTCGGGCTAGATCTCCACGACCTTTCCCGCTCTACGGAGTTAATATTTATCGAGGCTGTCTGTAATTTTCTCGAGTCTCTCTCCGAATACCGCGAGCCGGCGCGACAGGACGGGATGGGGATGCGACGGGACGGGTCGCGACGGCAGCGAAAGAAAAATAATTAAAACGGCCGAGGTCAATGTGCATTCGGTCGTTGGCGCACGTTTCTTCTTCGACGTATCGGCATCGCGCGATCGTTATTCCGCTAAAACGGTCCGCAATCATAAAATCCTCAACGCGTAGAAACGACGCTTTTTCCCCTCCCGTTTCTTTAATGAATTG